GGGAGAGGAGAGAGGGATAGCCGAGGGAGAGGGACGCAGAGGGAGAGGGAGAGGGAGAGTCGAGAGAGTCAGAGGGAGAGGAGAGAGGGAGAGGAGAGGGAGAGTGATCGGGCGAGTAAGACGGAGAGGAGAGAGGCAGAGGAGAGGGAGAGTGATAGGGAGAGTAAGAGGGAGCCGGGAGAGTAAGAGGGAGAGAGGAGAGGGAGAGTGAGAGGAGAGAGGGTAAGAGGTAGAGGGAGAGAGGAGAGGGAGAGGGAGAGGGAGAGGGAGTAAGAGGGAGAGGAGAGAGTTACTAGTAGAGGGAGAGGAGAGAGGGAGAGGAGAGAGGGAGAGGAGACAGGGAGAGGGAGAGTTATAGTGAGAGGCAGAGGGAGAGGGAGAGGGAGAGGAGAGAGAGAGCAGAGGGCGAGGGAGAGGAGAGGAAGAGCGAGAGGGAGAAGAGGGAGAGGGAGAGGGAGAGTAAGAGAGAGAGGGAGAGGGAGAGTAAGAGGGAGAGAAAGAGGGAGAGTGAGAATAGAGAGAGTGAGAGGGAGAGGGAGAGGGAGAGGGAGAGGGAGAGGGAGAGGGAGAGCTCGCCCTCCACGCGGCGCACCATTGGGGGCGCTGCGGACTATTAGGCCTCGTCGCACATCGCGCGCATTCTGGATTGTCTTATTTATCTGAGGTTAAAATATCCATTTGAAAATGCTTGCCACATCTCGGGGATGGCGACGCCAATTCAGCCATCCTGAGATGCAGCGCCCTCCGGCCAGCATCTCAGGATGTAATGGCTCAATCAGGGATGTCGTGGACATCTTTGGTTGCCTCAGGCATCCCAAGATGCATGAAGCAATTCAGGATGCGCGAAGCAATTCAGGATGCGCGCGCATCCTGAATTGCTTCATGCATCTTGGGATGCTCGAGGCAATCTCAATTAAAATGGAGATCGTATCGGGCAATTTGAGATGCCGGAGCATTTCAAATTGCGGGTTCCCCGCCCCTGACGGTAGAGCTGTCAAACGTTAAGAGCTGAACAGTGTTGCTAGTGTTAACAGCTCTGGGGGGGCGCGGGGCCCCCCGGAGGCACCGTGCGCCGCGCAGCAGTGCGGAAACGGGGCTCCGGCTCCGTTAGTCTCCGTTAGCACCGACTTCCCGAATGATTACGGTTGATTAGAGGGCAGATTTGGAGAGATCTCGAGGAGTACACACAGATAGGAGATAGACCCTCCAACCATCAGAAAACTCCAACCTGATCGGTCGTACTGACCGCCGACAGATCACTCCAGACAGCAGACAGGCCGACGTCTGCACGCGGCCGGCCGGGCGAGAGGCTTGACACGATCCGACCCTGCGACCCTCACGCTGCTGCTCTAGCTATCAGACATGCACTGCTGACTGCTGCCACAATGTGCGACCGGTGCTGGCCCACTTGGCGGCCTTCCCGGTCAGTGGTGAGGCGCAGTTCAGAGCTGTCGATGGCGCGATGCCGCACTGGTCCCACATTGGTAACACGAGACCACCACGTTTGCCGGTCCAAGAGAGAGGCACTGGTGCTGTCCTGAGAAGGTGCGTGGTCCCTCTTGACTGCCCATGCGCGCGAGGCTGTGTAGGCATAGCCTCGAGAGTGCCAGCAGCCAATCTGAGGCAGTTTGTGACGCGCATTGCGTCAGAAGCGTGCACGCAGCTGGAAGGACACCTTCCTACTGGCCGTACGATCAGGTCGTCACTGAATGCTTGATACTAAGGCCGCGAGCTATGCAGGTGATCAATTGTGCAGCATGGCACGGTCAGCAGCGCCGACAGGCTGTCGCAAGGCGTGATAGGATGGCCGCAAGTACGCATGAAAACAAGTGAAAAATCGCGCAAAAAAGAAAAATCTCGAGAAAGTCGGCGCCTGCGGCGGGCCATGGGACCCCATCGCCCCCCCGCATGGATACCCTCTAGGGCCCCCGCGCCCCCCCAGAGGTTAACAGTAACAACAGAACAACAGTTGGGCTCCCCAACAACAGTAGCTAACGTTAGGCCGGCTGAACAACAATAAGGAAGGCCTGGCAGTGACCCACGACGATCTCCAGCGTCCAGTGCGGGTAATACCCGAAAATACCTGGAAAATCCCGGGTATTCTCGGGTTTTACCCGGGGTTTTTGCCGTTTTCTGCTTGCTGGCCGCTGAACAACAGTAACAACAGTAACAAACAGTAACAGCATGGGCTGGGATGAACACTTGAACAACGTTAAGGATTTCAGCCAACAATAGTGCAACTGTTAGGCCCAAAGTTAACGTTTGACAGCTCTACGCTCCGGCGTCCGGGGGGGACGGGTCAGGGGTCACGCCACACAGGAGGCGAGACCGCCGAGCGCAGCAGCGCACCTCCGCGCTCACCAGTGGTGTGACTGTGAAGGGGGGGGGGGGGGGGGGCAGCTCAAAAAGGTGCATATGACACACATGAGCGAAATGTCCCCTTTTCAGCGCTTCGTCTGTTGCTCCACAGAACACACACCAACATCAGATAGCAGATCAATAGGAAGAAAGCAAGCGCCATTCTTTTTTTGCGACCCCTCCCGGAGGCCCTTCCGACTCCTCTCGATCGAGCCCTCCCGCCACGAAGATCTCCCTTTGTTGTCCGACCGTCCCTCCGAGCCCACCCGGGGCCCGAGCCCTTTTGCCTATCACCCGAGCTCGGGGGGGCGGCAAGCCCTCCTGGACCCCACCACCCCTCCCGGCTTGTCCAGACTTAATTTTGGGGGGGGAAGTCTTTTTTTGTTGAATGGCCGGAAGTACCCCCCTAGTAGGGACCCCCGCGGAGCAGGTACGCCAGCCGGAGCAGGCCAGCCGGAGCAGAGCCGCGGGTGCTCACACACAATGGCGCTCCTCCTCGCCCTCCTCGGCCCAGGTCGCGAGACCCGAGCCGCGGCGCGACCCCCCC